GAAAAGCATTTAAGCCAAGACTAATTTTTAATTTTTAATATATTGGGGCCAACTATATTAAAGACATAAGAAATTTTTCTGAAGGGTTACATCGCTTAAGAAAAAGCCTTTCTCAATATATTTTTAAAAAAATTCAAATAACTGTCAGGTTAATGAGAATTCACATTTGGAAGCTTATCTTTAATAGTAGTACCATGAAAATGGTAAAAAAAATAATTACAGTATGTTAGCTATAAACATACTACCCGGTGGTGCAATGGGTAGACTGCAGTATTGCATGCTAACGCTGCCCACTGCCAGGAGATTCATCCTGACTGGCTCAAGATTGACTCAGCCTTTCAGGTTGATAAACTGAGACTCAGTTTTTTGGGGGCAATATGCTGTAAACCACTTAGAGAGTGCTATAAAGCATTGTGGAGGTAAATCTAAGTGTTTTTGGTAAATAGTCCAACTTGACTTTGACTTTATGACTTAAGTAGGCAGGTCTACTTAATTGTCTTTCAAACAATACAGAATTAATTACCTTCTTCCAGTGCTTTGTCCCACCCCACACCCCAAACAAAACTCCTAGTGGAGCTTATGTTTTTCATTTGGGTTTCCTAATGAGCTCCCATTCATTTACTAACCAGATATGACCCTGCTTAGCTTCTGGAGATTATCCAAGATCAATTAATTATATATATTAGTAAAAAGCAGTTCAATGAAAAATATAAACATGTTTCATTTTTAAGTGTTGAGCTGAAAAAATTATTATAAATATAAGCACTAAATATCACTGGGGAGTTGGCATTTTCTACATTAGTCTGGACTTTTTACAACCTGTGACAAATTGTATAACAATCTATATCCATTTATTCTGAGCTCAATGAACTGGGAACATACATCACACTCTAGCTTAATGCAACACTTCAGGTCTGACTGAAAACCATACTAGAATCTAGAGCCTCTGCTGACTCAGGAAGATGCCTTGCAAAACATCACTATTTAATGGACTTTCAAAGAATGGAATATTGTAGGAAATATTATAGGATGTGATGAATTGTGGCAATTGTAGCAATAAATAATCTTTCAATTCAGTAGTTTATCACAACAGTGTTGATGTATGATATTCTGTGAAGATATAAAACTTTGCCTGGAAATATTAAGAGACTTGGCTTCATCAGCAGGTCTGCCAGTACTAATATGGGATCTAGTTCTGGAAGAAGAACTTATGGCAGAGGTACCGTTTTATTTCTTTTACCAATCTGAAGTCCGTTCATGGATAATATTAGTGCACATTTATTTGCAGTGAAGAAGACCCACAGAAGATTTTACTAGCTAGTCTTCAACTTACAACCCTTTGATTACAATGGTTGTGTTTCAAGTGCCAAATATAGAGCAACTGAAAAAAATGACTTATGATTGGTCATCACACTTAAGGCTGTCACTGCATCCTCACAGCCATGCAATCAAAATTTGGGCTCCTAGCAACCCGCATATATTTATGACAGCTGCAGCATCCTTGGGTGATGTGATCACCATTTATGAGCTTCCCAGCCAGCTTCTGACAAGCAAAGTCAATGAGCGAAGCCAGATTCAGTCATGTGATTCTAACTTAACAATTGCAGTGATTCATTTAAGAATGGTGGCAAAAGGGTTGCAAAATTGGGCATACTCACTTAACAACCACCTTGCTTAACAATGGAAATGTTGATGCCCACCATGGCCATAAGTCAAGGACTACCTGTATTGGGAGTTCAGGAAAACACAGATACCAAGACCCGTAGCAGAAAGCTACTATTAATACTTATAAAACTGATATGGTATTATTTGTTTGCATAACATGCTTGTTCATACTTAACTGGACTACAATTTTCTAAATTAAGACAAAATTCTAGATTTGCACAATACATTAGCTATAAATTAACTTCATGGGCTGGATTCATATAACACATTAAGATGATGATGTGATTGTTAAGGATTTGTACAAATGCAGCCTATCAAATATATTTTGGGCAGTAAAAGGCAGAATCCTCTTCAGATTACTTTATGTTTTTTGGTTGATTAAGGCAAAAGGTGCAGCAGAATGTTATCAGATGGTGCTACAGAAATGTGTTTCTAATGAAAGTTTATGAAATGACTTTAGCAATGATACGGCTTTTATTTCTGTACATGGATAATAGAAAGGGGAATGAAATTTCTCTTTTAGCCACTGATTGTTTCTATAATGTTAATGCCTATGCGCCCTACTGCATTCTTTTGCAGCTTTTATAGCTGAAATTCTATACGCACATAAATGAACTCAATGCTCCATGGATATCTAAGTATAGAACTTCACCATTAACATACAGTTAATGATTAACGTACAGTTGAACAATTTTCTATAGTGATACCTGCATTCCTTTATGACTGGCTTTGAAATAGCACAGTAGCTATTGAAAAGAAATAGCATACTACCTGCTATTTAATAGTAGTGGCTTTCCATCTTTAACTTTATGCTATTTCATAACTCAAGGTATGTAGGAGTAAGTGTGTAGGAGTAACATCAAAGAGGAGAGATATGAATTACTAAATATGTAGATTCCAGAATAGAATCATGATGTACTGTACATCATTTCTAATATCTTTTAAACTACTGCCTCTCCTCTTAACATTTTGGTATTTAAACATCAGCAAAAGTATAATGTGAATAATAGTGAGTCTCTGCACCTACAAACATCATGGCTCACATTGTTGGAAAAATATCTGGGTGCAAAAATGTGCACAGCTATCATATTTCATCATCATAGCTAACCAAGATTTTAAACTGAAAAAGGAATGGTACTCTCAAAGTGGGAAGTCAGCCAATAATAAATGGCTTGTTGAAGAGCAACCATTCTGGTTGGGAGAAAGGCTTAAGTAAGGAATCGGTGTGCATTTTCTATGTAAAAATCAGGACAGCTCCATCCAGAATGAAAAGTGGATTGGCAGAGGGCCCCAAACCTCATAGTGACTTAGTCTTGCTAGAATACGTTGATCTTATTCTTCCTCATCTCAATCCCCACATCCTCCAGACCCTGGGAAAGAACTGAGGCAGCATCTTTTAACTGGCCAAATGTACTGTATAATAACATTGGCACAGATATACAACTGAGTATTATGTACATGCTGATGATACTTAACCTTGTGTCAACGGATGACCTCTCACAGCAGTTTCATGTAGAAATTAAACAAATGTTGTTTCCCTTTGATCTGTTTTTCATGCCCTCACAGCTTCTCCAACAACACAGCTTCTCCAAGGTTTGGGAAAGGACAAGTAACAAGTAGAAGAAAAAGGAACACTTCAGGGCAATGGAATGTATTTCATCAAAGCACTCTGCCTCTGTTCTTTGCCAAAGAGAATGTTATCCCTATCACACAAATCTTTACACTGAGGTAATCCTAAGCCTCCTCATGAAGCCTACCAACAGATGGCCAGACAAATGAATACAGAAAGGACTAAAAACTCAGAAAGGGTGGGTGCTAACAATTCATTTTCTGTTTATTTCATGTAGTGTCAGGGGGTATATTTGTTATTCTAGGAGCGCAGTGAAAATTGTGGTACATGTACCATTCAAAGACTCCCAATGTTAGGGGATTCTGCAAGTATAACAGGCTAGAGATGTGCAATGGATTTCTGAAGGTCCAATCCACTCATGTGTAAGATAAAATGCCCCATATTTTAGCCATCTGGATTTTCCCTTCTGCGGGGGTAGGGACACATAATTTTCTTTCATTTGTTAATGGGATGAAAAGCATCCCTTAAGAGCAATTTTGATAAGAAAAATGGACCCCAGAAAAGAGACAAATACCTTCCTTCATTTGACCTTGCAGTTTTACTTCTTTCGCTCTGAATGAAAAACAAACTCAAGGGGAAAATTGTATGTTTGTATGTCACGTATGGAGTTATACAGATGATTACATGTCGAATAATTTGAGAACCATTTATTATTGAATAAAAAATCAAGCTTTCTAAATGATGCTTAAATGGAGTGGGAGGAACTTTTACCCAAATTTGCTTTATTGTAATCACTATAAAATTCAAATTTATATCACATCAATTTCCAGCAATTAAAATACCACAGACCCTTCCCTAACATAACTAAACATGATTTACAGATCGTAACCCTTCCCATTTCATTAATTATTGTTCTATTACTGCCTTGTCCACTGCATTCTTATGATCTGACTCAAAAAGTTAAGATATTGTAACTTTGTTTTTTGATTCATCTGTTTTGGCTTTGTTGTTTGTATGGATTACATTTTTTTTCTTCCTAGCATTTTCTCACAAGTACAGGGTCTACTTTTTTTTTTGGATCAACTAAATGTTGATCCATTGGTTGTAGCAGGATTGACTAACCAACTTGTTGCCTGATCCTGATGTAGTTGTGAATGACTGGCCCAGATTCATACAGCTGGCTTACAAACCTAAGGCACAGCCAGAACTCTCAGTCTACTGGGTTCAGTGGATAGCCTAGCCACTGGATCAAACTGACTCTTGTTTACATGGATTAAATTTATAATAATCTACTATTTAGATGCTATTACATGTAGTCCTCGATTTATGACCATGATTGAGCCCAAAATTTATGTTGCTATGTGAGATATTCGTTAAGTGAGTTTTACCCCATTTTACACCGTTTCTTGCTACAATTGTTAAGTGAAACCTTGTAGCTGTTAAGCTGGTAACCCAATTGTTAAGTGAATCTGCCTTCCCTACTGACTTTGCTTGTCAGAAGGTCACAAAAGTTGAATCATATGACTCTGGGACACCGCTATTGTCATAAATATAAACCAATCGTCAAGCATCTGAATTTTGATCACATGACCAGGGGGTTGCTGGAATAGTCATAAGTGTGAAAAAAGGTCATGTCACTTTTTTCAGTGCTGTTGTAACTTTGAACAATCACTAAATATACTGTTATAGCTGGAGGACTACCTGTACTCTTAATACTAGTATCAGAATAGGGGAAACATATTGTACACGTTGTAAAAGTTATTACCTTCAATGAAGACTTTGTCCGAAGTTCTGGTTTCTGCTTTGTAGGTGTACTTTTAATAAGCAGAGATTCATCTGTACGAGAATCATAATTCCCATGTTCTGAATCATCTGTATATATGTCTTTCTCTCTTCCTATGTCTGAGCGGGGAAAAAAAATACCAGAAACTCATGGACTCATATAGTATTACTATGGAAACATTATGGCAAAGATACAAGCATAGTTTCCTTTATTATTTGCGTTTGCCACATATTCAGTATCCTATTATTTTGGGACAAAGTCAATATTTACTTTAAGCAATATTTCTCTTTCTTAATTCTGAAATATGTTTTATAAAAGCAATGTGCCATTTGTTCTTTAGCATTTGAAGATATCAAATAATTAAAATGGACTGAATACTTGTAGCTTAAAATCTCAACTTTTTTCAGCATCAGGTTTCTGGTGCTCCAGCATTAGAACTTTTTGATTAAAGAGCAGACCTTTCTGTACACAAATGATCAGTTATTAAGGAAATTATTCAGGAAGTTTATGTCAGGAAAAATCAAAACAGTCCCCTACTAATTGCAGTAGAAAAATAAGTCAGCCATCAGTATTAGTGAGATAGTTAATTGTGAAATGGCTTAAAAGATACATTGATTTTTTTATAAGTCGATTGGAAGCTGTGGTAGCTTATACATTAAGTATAATTGTATTGAATTTTTATTATAAGTTTACCTACAGAGTTTAACTAGGCATGCTCTATGACCACAGCCTTTGTGAAGTTTCAGTTGCATACCTTTGTAGAAAGTCAAGAGTAGTGGGGGGACACGGGCTAGGGGTGGACATTTTAAGTTTTGAACTGAGATGGAGATGTTATTGCAAGTCAAACGGCTGTAAAATAAACTACCCCCATTTTATCAGTGTTTTCATATCTATTATAGATCAGATTCTCAAAGGCAGAGCTTACTGGTTGAAGGGCACATAGTCAAAAAACCTTAGACAATTGCTTAAAATATCTTTCAGGTGATTGTTTCCCCAAAGTCATGTTGATAGGAGGCTTCGGGGTCTGCACCAAGGCATTCTGAAGGGATTATATACAGTTTCTACTATAGGGAGCTTTGAATGGAATAAATTCAAATCTTTCCTATGAACCTGATGACCTGGCTCCAGGATGTGTTCTACTTTTCATCCTCCCCACCCCTGTATATACAATTATGGATTTTATGTGATAGACAGGTATAGGTATAGACAGACAGCCTTATTGTTCTTTATGTTCTAATGTGTTATATAAATATCATGGTGCTATATAGGGCTTTTAACAGGTCCACCTACTAATACTTCTTTCCCATTGCTGCATACTTGGGATAAGCACCCAACTTGTCAGTTAATTATATGAATAGATTTCATTTACAGATTATGTCAGTACACTGCAGTAGATATTTTTTTAAAAAAAATCCAATTGCATGAGATGTTGTTGTAAAAAAAAAGTCCATCATATTATAAGGTAGGCCCAGTAATAATACAGTTAAGTTATACAGCAGATAAAGAATCCAGTTATCTATAAACAGCAAAGAAGAAAGAAAGGAAATCAATACATCTGTAACTTTTCATTTATAACTTTAGATGTTGCATTTCATATAACCTGAATGTTTTTGTTAATTAGCATATACCATGACCTTCCTTGTAATGTGGAGGTATAACAGCTGTAGAGAAAGAAGTGCTTGCTGAGACACCCGGCACTGTAGAACAGACCAATGAACATTGCTAAAGAAACTTCTAAAAAAAGAAAAGCTTTTTTACTTGTTAACTTAATAAGTCCCTTCCAACTCTCTATTCTATTCTATTCTATTCTATTCTATTCTATTCTATTCTATTCTATTCTATTCTAATAAAGCTGTGGTGGTGCAGTGGTTAGAATGCAGTACTGCAGGCCACTTCTGCTGACTGCTGGCTGGCTGCAATTTGGCAGTTCAAATCTCACCAGGCTCAAGATTGACAAAGCCTTCCATCCTTCTGAGGTCTGTAAAATAAGGACCCAGATTGCTGGGGACAATATGCTGACTCTGTAAACCGCTTGTAAAGCACCGCGAAGTGGTATATAAGTCTAAGTGCTATTGCTATTGCTAATAGAAGTCCAGGTGAGAAGTGAGATAGAAGCGATTGATCAGTGAGTATTTGAATAAGATAGAAACAGGGAACCCAGGGATAATTTAATCTTTGCCCTCTTCTCACTTCTAAACAATTCTCTTTTCAATCTGAGCTTTGTAAAGAACAATTATAGTTAAGCTGCCAGAATGTTCTTCTTGCTTGTTGGTGTAGTTGCACTGATAATGGAACACATTTTCCCCCAACAATCTTCTTTCTCAGTCTTGGTCTGTTTCATGAGATATGGCCATTATGCATCAGAGACCTTTTGTATACCAAAAGGAACTTATATTCTATTTAAAGTCTCCAACTAGGCTGTAAAGCAATGGTGGGTGATCTGGTGCTTCAGATATTTGCATTACATCTCCTATAGCCATGGCCATTTATCTTGATAGTTGGAGCTCATGGGGGTTGTACTCATATATATTGAGATTTTCTAGTTTGTCTCCCTCTGACTGACTCTATTTTAGGGGAATTTATCAAAAGCTGACATTTTCTCAGATAAAGATGAAATTACAGTGGTATCACTTCTTGGTTAATGGATGAACTATAAAGAAAGGTCTAAAACCAAATCAAGCAGAAGGGGTTCCTACTTATATACAATAAATATGTCTATGAATACAATAACCTTTCATTTCTCTTCAAATCAGAATATAATTTATGACATTTCATAAAAAATGCCTACACTGTTTCAAAACCAAAACTGAATAATTTTAGGAATAAAATAAAGCCTAAAACAGATTCTTCCTTATTTTCTTTGTAGAAAAGAAATAATAGATGGAGGCACTTTTTTTTTCATCTTTTCCACACAAAAAATCATGACTGGCCTTGTTGGTACTTGAAAATCAAAAAAGTTTTAGACACGGATCAAAACCAAACGTTGCTTTTGTTTGCTTTTTAATAAAATATTTTCCAGAAGCATAGTCAACATTTTTGTTTCATCTCTAATTTTTTTGGTTTGCCAATATTTAATATAATGTAGAAAAAATGAAATTTTAGTGATACTGGTTTTCATGAAACTTTTATTGCTCTAGGTTCAGATTACTAAGCCTATTATCAGGTATTGTTATACATTTATTACTAGCATTTTTCTCCAGTAATAACAGTTTACTTGATGTTAGTTCAGTAAACTGCAGTTCAGTTATCTATGGATAAGGGTTGTGTTATCTATGGATAAGGGTTATGTTATCTATGGATAAGGGTTGTGTTGTGAACCAATAAAGGAAACTGCCCTTCTTCCCCACCCAAGAAAAGGTCATGAGCCAGAATTTTCCAAAGTGGACAATAGTGACCCCTAAGGGTTGATGGAATTATCTAAGCTGTTATTACTGTTATAGTAATATTTAAAATAATATTTATTAAATTATTTTCATGTAATAATTTTTTTTTGGGGGGGGGGGGGGGTTAAATGAAAAATTGAAACGTCTCGGGGAAGTCAATGAGCTGAATAGTTTTGCGTTTTTGGCCATGAACACTACAATAAATATTATTTTTTTAAAAAATCTTCTCTTTGCTAGTTTTTCACTAACTTCTAAAGACTGAGCTTTTTTTGGAGAGCTTTCCCCTGATTTGTGTTGTGTTGTTGCCATTTTTTTTTCATATTCTTGCAGTTGTGCTTTTAATTATGTATGACTTTTGTTTTATATGGATAGTCCTTGACTTATCACCAAAACTGAGTGCAAAATTTCTTTTGCTGAGACATTTGTTAAATGAGTTTTGCCCCACTTTATAACCTTTCTTGCCACAGTTGTTAAGCGAATCACTTCAGTTGTTAAGTTAATAACAACATTGTTAAACAAAGTTCCCCATTGACTTTGCTTGGCAAAAGGTTACAAATAGTGATCAGATGATTCCGGAATGCTGCAACCATCATAAACAGGAGTCAATTGCCAAATCCCCGGGTTTTGATCATGTGATCATGGGGGTGTTTGCAAGGGTTATAAGTATGAAAAAAGACCATATGTTTTTCCAGTGTTATTGTAACTCTGAATAGTCACTAAATGAGCTGCTGTAAGCCGAGGTCTACCTGGTTAGTATTTTTCTCTGTGAGCTGACGAGAGTAATTTTGATTGCAGTGGCGTACAAATAGATTAAATAAATAAATAATTGTCAGATTTAGTGATTGTCCTATGAAACCAAAATGCAATTCTTTTTAGAACAATAGGAGGCTGCTCCATCCCTTCCCAGTCAGGCCTTAGTTTTCAGTAGTAAGTACAACTGGTCATGTTGTATGGAGTAGGAGAAGTATTGATTTGTCCCAAACTGGCATTTTTGATGCAGAATTTGAGTGGCCCAACTATTCAAATTATTGCTATTCGATATTATTGCTTTGTGCTCCCCCCTCTCTGTGTGTCTGTCTGTCTCTGTCTCTCTGTTTCTCTTTCTCTCTGTGTGTTTGTGTGTGTGTGTGTGAGAGAGAGAGAGAGAGTGTCTGTCTGTCTGTCTGTCTGTCTCTCTGTTTCTCTCTCTCTCTCTCTCTCTCTCTCTCTGTGTGTGTGTGTGTGTGTGTGTGAGAGAGAGAGAGAGAGAGAGACTGTCTGTCTGTCTGTCTGTCTCTGTCTCTGTCTCTCTCTGTTTGTCTCTGTCTCTGTCTCTGTCTCTGTCTCTCTCCTTCCTTCACTTCCTCCCTCCTTCTCTAGGTGTGATAAAAACACAAGACATTTTAAGTTATCCATTTCACCTGGAAAGATGAAGGGGAGAAGTGACAGCTATTTTCAGGTCCTGAAAAATTGTCATGTAAGAAAATTGTTCCCAAATTTCATGTAGAAGATAAAGGAAAGTTGTTCCCAAAAATACAGCAACAGAAAGGATTTTAAATTTAAGGAAGTTGATTTTTGTTGTATGTGAGGAAAAAAGATATTCCCTTTAGTGACTCATCTTCTTTCAGTGAATTTGGCTGTGTCAACCTTAAGTAAAAGTTCTTAGCAGATTTCACTGCATAGAACCACTCCCTGCTTTGTATTTTCAAGCATGTGGCAGGTTTGTAAGGAGATGTAGTTTTGAAAGAATTTTCCTTTGTTTTGGTAGTGTATTTTACATCTCAAGGTTGTAAGCTAATAAGTATTCTGACACCATGATGGTAGGCTAATTAATATTTCAACTTCATGGATTTTTCTGAAAAAAGGTTGACATACATGACTTGTTTCTATTATGAGTAACAGTGTTTTCCCCAAGAAATATGTATTGGCTGTGATTTTGCACATAAAGTCTCTTCTGTGTAAAACAATTTTGATATATGTTATCTTCATATGTATTCTAGAAGTACAGGCATTCTAGGAGAAGATTGTACAGATACCTATACAAGCCACATTGATGTCATATCTGTGTGATATGACTGATACAAATCACAAAAGTCATGTCATTTGTATGATCATATTATGATGGATGAGATGTTACTTGCTCTTATCACCCCTGAAATTGCCTATGGAGGATTGTATTAGCCTTTGGAAGGCGCCCTTGTACTTTTTAAAGGGGCTGAGATACAACAGAGTCTTTCATTGAATGGAAGGAAAACAGCAATGTTTGCAAATTCTCTCCCTTTTCACACACTTTTCTTTTATCCTTTCAGACTAGTTTTCAGGAAATGTATAGGCTATAAAGAGCCTTTCCACCAAATACAATTAGTGTTATAAACTATAATTCACTTTAGTCTCATTTAGATGAGCTTTCTGTTTACATTGTTACCTTCTCCTTGTTCACAGAAGAGTTTATAACTTTCTTTTGCGGTTTGGAATAAACCAGAGTGATTGATTCTATGCTAACCTGGGCCATTGTGGTTTACTTAAACTAATCACATAACAATTGGTTAAACTAGAATCTGATGCTACAGTTTGATCTAGCTTTGTTATAAGTTCTGTAGATCAGTTCCAAAATGGAGTACAGCGAATGCAAGCTTAGTGCTGCTTGTATTCTTGAAAGCAGCCATATTTTTTCCCCAGAACCCTCTACAGCTGCCGTTCAGTTAAGACATATTTATTTTAAATGTTACAGACATTGCTTTCTTCTACAACCCATCCTCAGCATCTTTATGGATTTGGATCTGAAGCATTATACTGTGTTTAATAAGTATCTATGCTTAACTCAGACATTCATACATAATAGCAAATTGGGTTGTTTTAGTACAACCCTCCCCCCATACGATTCCCCTGGAATGGCATTTGGTATAAGCTGCTTTTCTGCTAGCCTACAATTTGTTTGTCTTAATCGTTTGTCCTTTTCATTTGGCTAGTACTGCAGTTTGAGAAGGTCTTGATGAAAGAGCTGAGATAACATTTCCCTTTCATGCCCTTCTTGAAACCTTTTACCTCTGAACCGGCCTCACAAATTGTATCAGGCTATCTATAATATTGCATCAGGTTATCTATATATTGAACCCAACATATGTTTATTTTAAAGGACACCCACATAAGTCCTTTAAAATCATTTGAATTTAAGCACTTGACAATGCATTCATAACATGCACTGTAGGTTTTTCACTGCTGTCACATTGGATGACAGTTTCTTCAATAATGTTTTTTTTTTTTTTTTTTTGGAGTGGCGGTGTCTGTTTTCTTACCTTCGTGGCTATGCAGGATTCTTTGAAAGTCAGAAGCAATACTGAATTACATTGATAATAGTATAGTGCAGGTAGCTCTAGGCTTACAATAGTTCATTTAACCAACTGTTTGAGGTTACAGCGGCAGTGAAAAAGGTAACTTATGACCGTTTTTTCACACTTACAACCATTGGAGCATCCCCATGGTCACGTGATCAAAATCCGGATGCTTGGCAACTGACTCATATTTATGACAGTTGTCGTGTCCCAGGGTCATGTGATCAGCTTTTGCTTCTGACCAGCAAAGTCAACAGGGAAGCCAGATTCACTTAACAACCGTGTGGCTAACTTAACAATTGAGGTGATTCATTCCAAGAAAGGTTGTAAAATGGGGCAAAGTGAGACTTAACAAATGTCTCACTTAGCAACAGTGAGAAATTTTGGGCTCAATTCTGGCTGTAGGACTACCTGTATCTGCATTTTCTTAGATTATCTCTAGGATGCTGTAGGAAGCCCTTCCCTCCCCAGATTAAAATATTCTTTGTTCTTAATATTAAAAAGAGGCAGAACATTATATTTCCCCAAAGGGAAAATGGAGAAAAAATCTTAACAAAGGAAGAAAGCAATCCCAGTCTTCCTGCCATAGGAAAACAGCTTCAAACTAAGAAGAGGATGGCCTGTAGGAATGTAGATTTTGTAATTATTCAGAAAGACTGGGCCAATCATAAACAAAATGCTTTCAGCCACAGCTCCCACTGGAACTGATGGGATTAAGAATTTACATGCCCCCCATTCAAATTCTAAGGACAGGACATGATCTTTAGGACATAATGGGATTAACCCACCACCACTGAAATAGTAAAAGACACAAGGCTTACTACATTGCACAATCACAAAACCCCAGAACCCTATAAAGATTCAGTCAGCCATTTTGTCAGCCACCCCAGAAACATGCTGCTGTCACTGAAGTTTCTGAAAACCAAATAAACCGAAACCATGTCTCCTTGTAGCCAGCCTCCATTTTATTTCCAGTGATTTTTCTCCCATCTTGGAACCATACTGGATTTTTCTTCCCACAGTGCAAATATATGGCATGGTATATAAGCAATGACTCAAAATTGATTCTTCATTGGATGTATTCATATAGTCACATTCCGTCACTTGTTCAAGATGTTGTCATTTTAGTTTTTTTTTTTTTAAGGGGCATTGCACAGAAGTAGGCAATTTATTCAATGGCCTAAGCAAAACATTCAAGTCTAGGGTTTTATCCTTCACTGTAGTGAATGTACCCTAAGTATTTTTCTAATTTGTTCTAGCTGCTGGGGAAGGAAATCTTCAAACACCAGATAGAACAAAGCATATAATCGATTGTATTCACTTTCATGGGAGCACCAATGGTTCAGGAAAAAAATATATCCAGATTTTTCATAAAATAGACTAAAAAATGGATCTGAAAAGAACACATCCAACTTTGTTTCTATGTGGAAACTGTTTCTAGGTTTTGTGCTTGAGATGGAAAAAGAAAAAGAAACTTTGACTTTAGGTTTTGCTGATGAGGTAGGTTTGTTGTTAAAAAAATGGCTAATTCATATTAGCATGTAAAAGTAATATGTTGTGACTGTAATGTTATTATCCTATTCTAAACAGAATTGGAAGGCAATGCTTTTTCTTTCTTTCTCCCCCAACCCCTTTTTTTCTCCCCTATTTTCCCACTATTTTCATTTTCTTTTGTATTTTATGTCCTGATAAACTTAATTAAAATGTATTTTTAAAAACAAAATCCAAAAACAAGAATGAAGCCCCTGAGCTCTAAAACAACTTGAAATTCTACAGCCAATGTTACAACACAGATGAAAATCAATTGTATTTTATACAATATCCTTTAATAGCTTCATTCTCCACCACTATTTTGCAGCTCTATCTTACCATTTTCCATTTATTTTTCCTTTCTTCAAGCTACTTGATTAAATATTTATCTAACTCACTTAATTCAGATCCATCCTTAATATCCCCAGGGGGAAGCTCACAGTAGATCATGAAAAGAATGAAACTCATTCACCATATGTGCTGAATAAGCTCTATCACTGGTGAAGAACAGGATCTAGATGTGTCACTTCTTTTCATTTATAACCAATTGTTTAAGTAGTTCACAAGAAGAAGTAGCCACAGTTAAATAATAGGCCATTTTGAGAATGAACAATTCAATCTTAAAAATCAAGGGGTTTTCCTCTAAAATTGATAGTTGAGTTGGAAGTATTCTAGGGAAGAAAGAGTTGGTTGGAAACAAAGGTTTGATGCAAAACAAAACAGAAGAAAAAATATCTCAACATCAGATTCATCCTTGTAAATGTTTGAATCACTACTTGTCCAGTAATATGTTATGATAATAAAAATATTGCTGGTTTTTCTGCTTCTCCCCAGGGCACCTTCATTACAGTCACAGAACCCAATATACAGAGAAATGCTGAGATTCAGCAGGTATCTTACAAATGTATGTCTTTCATTAAATTAATTTCCACTTCATCCAAAAGTAATGCCATTGAATGAAAGGACAGCATGGTGAATAGGTTAAGAAGCTGGGTTAAATAAGTGACCCAAGTTCAAGTTTATTCTCAGCCAGGAAATTAATTCAGTGACTTTTGACTAATTATTCTGTCGCAACCTAACCTATGCTGTAGGATTGTTGTAATGTAAAAATTGAATGAGGAAATGTGTGCTCTTGAAGAAAAGGTCAGATATCAATTTAACAGACATAAACATCATCTGGTTTTTTTTAATAATATTTAATCTACTTATCAGCCCTAGTAATCTGAATCAAGGATGGAGAATCTGAACCCTAATTCCCAGTAGTCCCAGCTGGCATGGCTCATGGTAAGAATGCTGATGAGTTGGTAATCAATGAGAACTGGAAAAACATTCTATCCCATACCCCACGTTTTTAGCAAATAACTGATATTTCGTTGTGAAGGATTACGCTCATAAATTCAAGCACTACTACCAATGGTCTATGGCAGTGGTGGGCAACTATGGCTCCTTTACAACTTGTGGCCTTCAACTCCAGAATTTGTGAGTCACTATGATGGCTCAAGAATTCTGAGAGTTGAGGTCATTAAGGGACCATAGTTGACCACCCTTTAGTTTATGGGATAACAAGATAATTGAACTTTCTGGTTAGCACTCTCTCACCTCCTGAAACAGAAATAGGGCTATTTCTAATAAGTACTGTACAATATAACAACATAGAGAAAGCTCACCTAAAAATGGATCACAGTATTCTGTATTGGATAACTTGAGTAAGTTGTTTTCCAAGGTTTCCATCACTTTGGCTAAAAGGGAATTTAAAAAAAAATTGCATCAGAGTAATTTACATTGGCAAAATCCATTGTGGATGAATTGCTTTGGTTTGCTCAATAAGTGAGAGGGTATTGTAAATTGCAAAGAAGTGGAGAGATCTGGCTAAATCAACACTCACCTCTTTCTGATACTACATTGACTGTAGCACTTGATGCCTCTGCAGTCACAGGCTGTTGCTGTGGCTGAGATGGAAGCTGAGGCTGAGGCAGAGGCATCACTTGGTTTGACTGAAGAAATGAGGAATGCTTGCTGAGACTTTGTGGATGGGTTTGACTCTGGGCAAGGCATGGCAAGGATCTTCGGGAGGGCTTTAAGGGTGGTTCTTTCACAGTCTCACTCCTGCTTGTATTCATGCCTGAAACCAACAAAGAACCTGAGATTAAATTATTATAACAATAATTTGAGCACCACGTGTTAGTTGGACAGAATTTTAAAATGTCACAAATCTAGATATCAAAGATTTGTGAGATCTAAACTTTGCCTTCTGGGAGTTATGAATTTCTCTGTGAGCCTGTTCAAACAGATGGCTGAAACACTGAAAGGATAGTTCAATATGACAGACTCCCATTGCTGGCCATTTAATACAGCAGTTCTTAAACACAAGTTGAATTCAATCTTTTTAATGTAGGCTTTGAAATTTCTTCTTCACTTTATTGTTCCACTGGGGCATTCTGATTGGAAAACACAAAGGCCCTTTATTCTTTTAAGGACCTGAGATGAAAGATGATAGAGTTTCATACATCATATATAGTGAACTTTCCATTTATGATGTGGAGCTTTTTCGTTTCTCTTTCTCATTAAAAAAAACTTATCTGATGTGGGGCATTTAGCTCAGATAAAAGAAAGCTGTTTTTTTCTCCCCCACAATTCATATGGAATTTATCATCACTGTATATAAGGACTTAGGTGGCTTTAGAAGTGAGACAAATAACATGGATTATAAAGCTAGCACAGACTACTCATTTTACTGACAAGGTATTCAACCCCCTACCTGAATTAGATCTGTCATTCACTTTGCCCTGCATTTAAATATTTATATACCAAGTTTTTTCCTGTTCATGAAGTAACTGATAAACCATGAGGATTTCTTATTTTTTTAAAAAGGCAATTTGTAACCAGTTTTGTTATCTGAAAGCCAGTTTTTGGGGAACAAAAAAAACCACAACAAAAAATAACAAAAAACAATGGAATGATTATGATATCTATGTTTATTTTGTAGACTGCTGAAAGCATATTCTGAGGGACTATAGCATTTTATTTATTTATTTAGCTTTTCATGGCCACCCATCTAATCACGGCAACTCTGGATGGCAAACAAATTACAGCGTGGCCATTAAATTGTGCAATTCAAAGCCTACAATAGTAAAAGAAAAATAAATGGCAGCCATGAGTAAAAACCACATACTATAATTACAAACCATCTGAACTTTAATATTGACCCCCATACCTGGGTAAATAGCCAGGTTTCCACAATTTCCAGGTCTCTAGGGTCAGGTCAGTCTCCATTATTTCACAGGGCGAACACTATAACAGAAAAGGCATACTTTCTGGATCCTTCATGATGGCATTATTTAATTGATATGATCCTGAAGCTTGCTCCCCCTGCTGGATCTAACAGGATGTTGAAGAGAGGCAGTGCTTTCTTTAGGGGTAATCCTACCTACAACACATTGCAGTAGTCTATTAAGAAAGTGGCCTAAGGATGCTTGGCCATGTTTTGGTTACCTAGCTTTGTGGCATATCTAGAAGAGTGCTAATAAATTTGTAAATGAATAGAAATTCCTTTCATTTACGCTAGAGTACATTTGGCTTTAAGCCATAGCCATTTTTAATTGCTAAGCCCACATATTGAGTGCCACTACCTGTTTCCACTGCCACAAACAATAATTGAGTAGAATTATGCAATCCTTCAAAATTCAGCCCAAAAATATTGATATTTTTCAGTGGCTGCACATTTCATTTTCCAAATATAATTATTTACTAAACTGCCAAAATAGAAGAGTGATTTGTAAATATCATTGGACCAATTTTATAGCAACAGCTTTAAAGGATACAGTGAAACCTTGTTTCATTTTAAAAAAAATCTAAATCTAACCACATTAAGGCAGATGGTGTTGTACCACTCCAGTTAACAGTTCTTTATTTTCTGAAATATATTTCAGCATCACTTGCCCCCATGAGTAGCAATGCTTACCATGGCAGAATAAAATTATTGCTACCAGAAAGATACTTCTTCTGAGAAAATAGTCTTACTAACACTGAGTCTTATCATTCACATAAATATTTACTTATTTTTTTGCCTCAGTACTTGATTTGATTATTGTGTTATGCGTTTTACATTTGGGACCTTCTAGTAGACTGAAGCTACAGCAACCTTTAAATCTGTTCTGAGTGTGGATTACAAGGTATGTTGTTGCTACCTTCCCCAAGTTTATAATTGAAAATTTGCATATGGGTAATAGTGGGAATACTGGTGCAAATACTAACCATAGAGATACAAAGATATTCTCATTCATTATAGTGGCAAGGATGCACAAAGAGTTAGCTCTTCCATGGAAGAGAAATGGAAAAGCTATTCTAGTATCAGCATCTGAATTTGTACTAATGCATTACTTATTACTTACAAAGTATTAAGTATTATGCTAAAATACTAAAGTATCTCACATATTAAATGGATCAATTTCTATTTGATAATGATAACCTTGGCTTAATGACACAAACTGAAAAAGAGACTGTATTTTTCTATCATTGCAATTAAATTCATTACCATAGGAATAACTTTTTAATTTATAGAGCTCATTAGTTGTCAAGTAGGTTTTAACATCTTCCTGTATTATAATTACTGACCTAAAATGTGTGTGCGCACATGCTTATTGTCCTCAATTTCCTTATCCCCTACAAAGAATGTCAGTGTAATATAATCCAAGCAGCATTTTAGGACAAAAACTTGCTTATTAGAAAGACAAGCATGAACCCATTTATTATCCTAGAGCCTTTTGCAGCTGTACCAAGTCTGCCAGGATGGAAAAAAATAATAGTAAACTTGAATAGGGCATTGCATTTGAAGGAGCAAATATAGAAAAAGGCAGTATGGTACACAACAGCAAGATAATATCTGGGATAACACTGGAATGACACTGCCTTGTTGATTCAATAGGGTTTCAGGGGGAGCATCATGAAGACTGCCAGTGATATCTAAATAACAAGTTTCGAATTGAATTTTTTCTGGAAAGGACCTGAAAACATAGAAATTAGAACTGAACAGAACCTTAAAGGATTTCTTCACTTTCATGGAAAAGTGATTGAAGAACTTCTTTGAAGGACTTCCATTTTGCAGGGCTTTGGCGGCAGCAGGAATTCACGATTGTGCGCGGTTTCTGCTTGCATTCGCCGCTGGAGTGCCCCGAGCCACCCGGCTTTGGGGCTAAGTCACCCCGTAGAGGTGACTGAAGATAGGGGAGACCCGGCAGGGCTTGAGGGGAGCCGCACCTCCCCTCCTCAGCTGGCTTAACTCCCTTTTCTGAAGGCAGTAGAGCAGCGGTCAGAAAGGGCCGCCACAAAGAAGCACTCATCTGGAAAAGAATGTGCAGGAGGAAGCTAAGAAGTGAAAGTTTTGGCTGACCGGGAAAAGAAGCAACATTCAAGATACCCTGGAATTTAAATTTTAAAAAAGGATATATCGCGGCCAAAGAAGATCCAGAAGCAGCAAATGAAAGTGAAAAGGGAAAGTTTGTTTTTTCTCACTCTCCTTCCTTACGGTGACAGCAGATGAATGAGAAATCGGAAAAACCCGCTTTGGCATCAGCAGGTAATTAAACTGGAAAATTAAAGCCAAGGGGACAATAAAGATTTCTGATCACTGAAAAAAAAATTTTTTGCTGTAAGTGGGAAGGGAGAGGAAAAGAATAAGAGTAAGTTTTGGCTGGAGGAGACTGCTTGGAACTTAAAAGAATCTAAAATTAAATTGTAACAAGACTTCTAAAAGATACATTTTAATTGGAACTTTGTAACTGAATTGTAGCCCCAGGAAGATAATGTGAAAAAAGAAGAAAGTGTTAAATGAAACAGCTTGTGTGTATTTGGACTGCTTGATGACTCTGGGACTTTTGGAAATTATATTTCAATGATTAAAAACACTTGGGTGGTTGTTTACATTTTTTTTTATAATGGCATCACTTGTGGATGAACTGAAAATGGAATTTAAAAAATATAAAGAAGAGGAACAAGAAGAGAAGGGCTCTTTTGGCTCCGTTTTTCATTTTTTAGAAATGGCGATTTCTACTTATGAGAAACTACAAGAAGATTGGGACAAAGAAGAAGCCATCTTTAATGAACAAGTAACTTTATCTGGGGAAGAAAGGAGAAAGGGGGGAAAGAGAATGGAGAATTTAAGACCTAAAAAAACAACCAAAAAAAGGGAAAAATAAGGTGAAAAGTGGATATAATGTCAGAAAGGAACAGAAAAGAGGAACACAGAAGAGGGAAATGGAGATGGAGAGACAAGGGGGTAAAAAGGGCAAAGTGAAGAAGCAAGGGAGGAAGGAAGGGAAGAGAAGCTACAAAGGTTTGAAACAAGATGTAAAGAAACAGGATTTATTTAGAGATAATGGGTAAAAATATAACTGAAAAAGATATTCTGCAAAGGTACATAAGACTGTATTGTTGTATTTGTATTAGAAATAATGTTAGAAAATTGGAATAACATATGATTATAAAATGGGATAAAATATTCAATGTAATTCAGTGAATCTTTTTTTTTCTTGAACAAAATAAATGAAATGACATATGAGAGAACTGAATTAAGAAGGAATGGTAACATTTTAATTACATAATGTTTTAAAATATAAGTGAAATGGGGGGGAAGTAATTACGCAAAATTTATAACTGTTCCCATAGAAGCATGATACCTATTTGAAAAGGAATGTGTAAAATGTTTAAGATTTAAATGAATATTAATTTTAACGATAGAGTTCAATTGGTATGGATTGTTGTTTTTAATTATATTATATATTTATAATTTTTTCTTTTCTTAAAATAGCTTTAGAATGTACTAAGCAAAATCCGAATGAAAGTTATGTATTATATTAAGTGTTAAATTTAGGGGAAAGATATAAAGGCGTCATACTCCAATCGGTGATAACAGGAGAAATTTTGTGTTAATGAGAAAAGATAATAGACATCTGAAACAGGACAGACAAAGGATATAAGTATAATGATTTAAATTAAGATGAAATAAATAAAATAGAATTAAGAGAGTGAAAAGAAGGGAGAAGCTATATAAAAAATGTAGAATGGTAATAAGATATGGAATGGTATATAAAAGTGAGCATGAACTTGAATTTATGTCTGTACAAA